TGTATGTTTAACCCTACAGAAATGACCTAAAATACACACACACACACACACACACACAAGAAAGTTAGGTCTGACCCATTCCGCTGTTCTTCCTTATCCTGTCCCTTGTTCCTCCCCGTCAATCCTCCCCATCTAGTCTACTGATCTTTCTTCTATTTTGATGGAATGCCACCTCTCTCTCTCTCTCTCTCTCTCACCCTACCTCTCCCCACCCTCATCTCTCTTTCCTGTTTTAGACTAACTTTTGGCTGTCAGAAAACATTCAACCTTTGACTTCTGGTGTCTCATTTATTTCACTTACCATGATAGACTCCAGTTATGTCAATTTGCCAGCAAATGCCATATTTGCTCTCTTTCAAATGGCTGAGTAGTACTCTATTGTATAAATGTGTGTGTGTGTTTGTGTGTATCACATTTTCTTTATCAATTCACTAAATTCTGATGTCTTTTTGCAAGTAGAATTAGACCTACTACTCAGAGTAAAGCCAGCCTCAGCACGCTGTCTTAGCTAATTAAGTGATTAAGTTTACACGGCTCAATGAAAGTTCAGTGGAACTCTATGTCACCCAAGGTAAGTTTAATGGCCTACCCTTATGTAGTAGCTGTGCAAGACAGGGATGGTTCTTTTCAGGACCTACCCCATTGCTCTTTGCTTCTGATTTCTAACTAAACTCAAGTCCCAGAAGGCCTCTAAACTCTTTGTGATCTCTGAAGAGATGTGCTAATCTCCAAAGGAATTACTTACGTTTTTAATTTATACAGAAAGAAATCTTAAGCATATATGTGGGAATAGATATTGAGGGTGTGGAATTATGGAAGGAAGAGAAAGCTGATTAGGTCAAAATAAGTTGTATATTGTTATACCATGTGCACTTACAAATGTGTAACAAAGAATCCCACCTTTATGTAGAATTATAAAGCACCAATAAAAATATTGAAAAAAGAAAAACACAATTAAAATATTTAATAAAAAATAAGTATAAGAGGCCCACAATCCAGAGATTTCATATTAAATTTTGTGTTTGGGAAGTTAGAAATGGGTCTAACAATTAACTTAGTTGTCTAAAACATAGAACAAAGGTGATCATTAATATTTGAAGTAGAATTACCCAAAGACTTTTATTTAATGTAGAAGAAATTATAAACCTTGAATAACTTGGATTTACTATTTTACTGTATATTCACTGTAGGATGTTGAGGAAAAAAAACATAGCTTTTACCATGGCTATGAGAATAAAGGATTTTTTGAGAGGAGTCCAAGCATCTTTGAAAAGCTGTGTGATCACACTTCTCTAAAGACTACATCTTAAAATGAGAGCTCAGGCCACTGATTTGGGAAAATTTAAAATAATGAGAGTCACTGGATCCCAACGAGTCAGGGGTCAACCACCAGGATTCAATTGCCAGATGGAATGTGGGTGTTGTTATTTTGGGGAATAGCAGATTCAAACAGCAGTTAGAATACTGACGTATGTGATTGTATCATATTGACAAGACCATTCTGATGTTCCTAGATGTTAAGCAGAAAGTAAGCTTAATAAATTCTTCTAGGATATGCATAGAGAAAAATTCGAAGTCAGGTGAACAAAATCTAACTGAATCACAGAACTATAGCCTCAACCTGTGAACCAATTCCCAGATTTGAACATGTTTATAGACCAAGGCTTTCAGTTGTCAAGGCCAGAAATACACCGTCAATGTCTTACCTGAAGACTACATCATCTCCTCAGAACTTTGTGATCATTTAGTTCTCAAGAATCTTGAGTACCTTTCCCTTCCATAATATACAACACTGACCCTTTGCATTGATGACATGAAGGTGACTGATCTAGTGACCAAGAAGCAACAGATTCTCTAATATCATTTCTATTCAAATGAGCACTCAAGGGATAGGATAATGACCATCCACACTGATGGTGGTTGATCTTCTTTACTTAAGTCTACTGCCTCAACTTGTATTCTCTTTCAGAAATAACCCCACAAACACAGAGAGAAAATGCCTTACTGGCTCTCTGTGTATCCTTTAATCTATTCAAAAGAATGCATAAAATTCACCACCAATACAGTCACATTTAATAATAATAAATATCTTTAATAAGGGTTTGACAAGGAGAGTGCAGGAAATCATAAACATTCTCATTCAGATATTATGATTCTGGATATAATGTTCCTTTTTTTCTAGGCAACACACTTTTTAAGAGGTAAATTACTTGAGTAACTTAGATTTAGTGTGGGTCTTAAAGTATGACACAGCATGTGGAGAAGATCTGAGGTGAATGGTTTCAAGTCTTGTGTATCCCACAAATTTTAATCAAAATCATAAAGATTATTTTGCCTCCAAAAAGTATGTGGGGGACAAGTTACACTCAGACATTGTTCACAGGACTGAAAATTGGTGTAACCACTCTATAAAGCAGTATGGAAATTCCTCAAGAAACTAAGAATGGAAACATGATATGACCCAGCTATCCCAATCCTTGGCATATATTCAAAAGATTTAAAATCAGAATATTATAGAGATGTGGCACATCAATGTTTACAGAAACACAATTTACAATAGCATTGGAACACATCTAGGTGCTCTTGCACAGATGAATGGATAAAGAAAATGTGGTATATACATACAATGGAGCACTACTCAGCAATAAAAAAGAATGAAATTATGGCATTTGCCAGTAAATGAATGGAACTGAAAACCATCATGCTAAGTGAAAAAACCCAGACTCCAAAAGTTAGATAGAACTCTGTTTCTGATATGTGAAAGCTAGTCCAAAGTAAGGGGGAGGGGCCAAAAGGAAGTAGAGATTCCACTAATATAGAAGAAAGATCAGTGGAATTAAGGAAGGGGTTCAAGGAGAAGAGAAGAAGGATAGGATGAGAGAAGAACAGAGAATGAATCTAACCAAACTTTCCTATGTTCATATACGAATATATCACAGAGAATCTCACTTTTAAGTATATCCACAGGCACTAATAAAAAGAAAACACGTAAGTAAATAGCAGAAAGATCAGTAAAATAAAAGAAAGGACACAGGGAAGAGAAGAAGAGAGAAAAGAAAGGGGAAATACTGAGAATTGAATTAGAGCAAATTATATTTCATGTTTTTATAATTATGTCAAAATGAATTTTAATGTTACGTGTAGCTAAAAACAATGAAATAAAATAAATTAATTTCAAAAGATTATTTTGCCTTCAAAAAAATCTTTGAAAATGCACCCTTGACCTCCTTGTTCCTCAGACTATAAACCATAGGGTTCAGCATGGGGATGACCATAGTGTAGAACACAGAAACAATCTTGTCAGTGTCCATGGAGTGACTGGAGCTGGGCTGTAAGTACATGAAGATGGTGGTCCCATAGAAAATGGAGACTGCAGTGAAGTGGGAGGCACAGGTGGACATAGCCTTCCGATGTCCTGCACCTGAGCGCATCTTTAGGATGGTGATAAAAATCAATATGTAGGATATTAAGATAACTGAGAGAGCAACAAGGATAACAAAGCTGGCAACATAAATGAGAACCAGCTCTTTCACACGTCTGTCAGAGCAAGAGAGAGCCATGACTGCTGGAATATCACAGAAAAAACGGTGGACCACATTGGACTTACAGAATGTGAGACTAAAAGTGTCTCCAGTGTAGAAGGAGGCACTCAAGAATCCACAGACATAGCAGCCTGTTACAATACATGCACACACACGTGTTGTCATGGTGGTGGTGTAGTGCAGGGGCTTACACACTGCTGCATAGCGATCATAGGCCATGGAGGACAAGAGGTAATTTTCCACAGTAGCGAAGGCTGTGAAAAAGAACAGCTGAGCAGCACAAGCATTGTAGGAGATGACTTCAATTCCTAGAATGAGTTCAGCCATGACCCTGGGAGTGACAGCTGAAGAGTAGCAGATGTCTGCCAGAGACAGGTTACCCAGGAAAAAGTACATGGGAGTGTGGAGACGGGAGTCCAAGAGGATCAATAGGATCATCCCCAGGTTCCCAACCAAAGTGATGGTGTAGATGAGGAGGAAGGTCACAAAGAGGGGAAGCTGCAGACCTGGGTCCTTGGTCAGTCCCAGCAGGATGAAGTGGGTCACTTCTGTCCTGTTCTCCATCAATGTTGTCTGAGCATCACTAAATCTTCTACGGCCATGAAAAAAAATTGGAACAGAATGATAAAGAAATCGAAACTAGAAAGTATAATAAACATTTCTTTGTTCCAGTAATTTGTACTTTGATATTTAAAGGGGGGAAGGTCTTGAAAAAACAAATTTAGTGTGTTAATTATAAACAGGGTAAGTTCTTGAATCTGAGAAATTTTAATTTATCATATACCCTATATTAAGTTTTTATATGTTTGTTGACTGAGATTTAGACATTTTAACAATTTGATCAAAATGATACCTGGATGAGTCTATTGGTCCATTCTCCTTTCCATAACTGCCACTTCCATGTTTCTCACCTTCAAGAACTACAGTGGACACTTCAGATGGGCATTTATGGGGTTCTTTCAAAAGTTTAGTTGGTTGTTACACTCATGTAAATTATCAGCACAAGAGGTTCAGTAATTTGTTAATATTCACCCAAGAATGTCTATTCTGGACCTGTGGCAACCTTTAACCATAATGAGTCTAAGTATAATGGTTTAAAATTAATTTAAATCAAGTTGAATTTAACTCAAATTTATAATTAATTACTCCATGTCTCCTCTGGTTCAATCTCAGTGTTTGGTGTTTCACAGCGAATGGAGTGAGTGACTGATTAGGTGGTAATTTCATCTTGTTCACTAAATATCTGCCTCTCTCTAGAGGAAAAATAAGCAAGCAAAAAAGCAACCATAGATGGAAATGACCCATTCAACTTCAAAAGGATCCTAAAGGAATTAACAAGCTGCTGTGACTTACATTTTAACCTTTCCCCCACAATCTCATGCTGTACATAAACAGCACATCTATATGTTGACAGAGATAAGATTAAAAGCATAAACTTTAGCTTAGGGTGAAGAAAGGTTTAATTCACATCACTCAATGGCACATCTCTATGCACATCGGATTTGTAGGGAATAACTGGTGGTGAGAGTCTGCTCAAACTGCAGAGGCAATTCTGAGAAAAAGCACATCATCAGATTTAGTAGATACAGAGATTAGATTTGGCGGGAGGAAATGCATTTCCATGCTACCATTTACCTCCTAACAATCATTGGTCCAAACCTAACTCCCCTGAACATCATTATTTTTATCTGCAAAATGAAGATGGTAATGAGATCTACTTTCAGATATTATTGTGAGAAATGAGTAAGATAATTCACAAATAACTGAATAGCTATAATGTTATTATTATAATGGGATAACCATCTTTATGTTGGTTTGATCAAGGTGAGTGTTGAAACGCAGACCTTCAGTCATGGGTGAGTAGGAAGTCCCTCAGCTTCTCCATCCAATTTGGCTTTTCTCCTGTGCTGGGTCTACTGATTTTCTGTGCTGTTTCTCAGTCTATCCTTACTCCAAGCCTAAGGTTACTGCTCTTGAAATTCCACCCAAGCCATTTCTTTCCAACATTTCTTCCTTGAAATCCATATTTTAGTTTGGGTAAAAGAATTTATTTTTCTTACACTCATTATTTCTCTCATTACTGTCATGTCATAACCAAATCCCAGAGACAAGCGTTCAGAGTTCCCAAATCATAGTCTGTCTTTAACTCAGATATGTTCTCAAGGGCACTCCCATATTGTAAAGTATTTTATAAAATTTATGTTTGTGTAGTAACAGTATTTAAAATGCCTTTATTGGAACTGTAGTTCTGGAAGGAGAGCCATCCAACACTAACACTATTTCTTACCATCTTTTTCTTAAGTCTCCCTCAACGTCATTTTACAAATCAGCCACTGACCACGACGTTGCAACCTTTAACACACATGACACCATTTATCACATGTTCTGTTTTACAACCAATGAAAAGGATTTTGTATACATATATGCTTAAAAGTAGACATCCTCATCCTCAGGGAATTGAGGATTTGAGAAATTCTGTGTTACTCTAAAATTGCACAGCTAGTAACAGAAAGACTCCACATTCAAGATTTAAGGAAACCTCCAACCTAATTAAATTTTTTATCCATGTCACTGTCAGCATGTGTACATGTGACAGCAATACTAAGCATGCGATTATGCAGGAAAGATTTAAATGCAGTTCAGAGTTTAGTAGTTCATTTAAGACCCTTTTGTGGTTTAAAGCATGATAATTTCACTGTTCCAGAATTTGTTTTTCTTGTTCATGTACCTCCAGTGAGAAACAAAAATGTAGTTAACAAGATGAAATTGTTACCTAATCACATGTCTTAAATTTTTTTCATATTTTTGGAGATAGAGCTATGATTTGTTATGAGAATATCTAAATGCTCTCTCTTGGAAGTTTTCTCATTTATAACTCCCAACTCACCTCCATTTCTTTGAAATATATTAAAACCATCTATTTCTCTTTTAAAATAACTCATAGTAGGTATAGTCACCCTGCTTTTTTTATGATTACACTTCTCACTAAAATGTTTATGGAATATAGAATCTTACCATTTTGCTGGAGAAGAAAGAACAGACAATCCAGAATAGTGTGTTTGAAATCATGAAGTCAGCCAGCAAATATTGCATAAGACTATTGGAGTCTCTCAGGTAGAGGTAACAACGTTCCAATTTCTCTAACCCAGGGGAAAAAAATGGAGGAAAGAACAATAACACAGATCAATTCCAATCTACCACGAATTCTTTGTTTCTTTAGAAGAGTCGATTACCTCTTCCTTATTTACATAGTAAGCATGACAATATTACATCTTTCACAGAATTGTGCCTGTAAATAATGAATAAAAGAGGTCTACAGAATCTCATGTAGTGGATATCAATAAAAAGTCTGTCAATGTCATTATTATCTTTGAGGGTTTGCCTGACCATGGTTGAAGGTTCATGCAAATGTTCAGGTCAAAAGAAGGCCTCTATGTACTAATAATGGTTGTCATTTATATAGATAAATGAGGTCCAATTAAGCACTGAATGGAGTGTATGTCTTCCAAAATAGGTCATTTGGAGTCATACTGGGATTTCAGAGGCTAACACATGAAGATCCGGAGAGAGTTATATAGAGTTGAGACCTCTGGAGACTGTCCCCATGAGACTATCTACAGCTCCTGATCCAACTTTCCTATGGAAGAAGCAATTAAACTGTCTATGGGGATCAAGCTAGTTAGCCTTAAGTTGTACAGATTTGGGGTATTATTTTCATTTACTATCAATGCATAACTCACATACGGTAATACCCTCATTTTTTAGTGTATAATTATAATAATTTTGTCAAGTGCATGGTCATCTAACAACCACAATCACCTACAACAATTTATCTTTAATAAACTTATCCAATCCTCTGCCCCGAACTACAAATAAACCATTTTATACAAATAGTTTTCCATCATTAGAATGTCATAAAAAGATTATAAAAGAGTACTATGATTAACCATCACGACATGTTGGATAACATAGATACAATACAAATTCTTATAAATACACACATTGTCAAAACCAACTCCAGATTCAGAGAAAATCTGAATATATCTGTAACATGTGAAGAGATTGAACTAATACTAAATAACTTCCCCAAAGAGGAAAGCAAAGGAACAGATAGCTTCACTTGTGAATTCTCCCAAACCTACAACAGCCATGTAAGATTGACAGAGAAGAAACCAGACAAAGGTCAGTATTAGTTTCCTATGGCTGCTGTAACAAATTACTGCAAATACTGAGGCTTACCACAACAAGGTTTTATTCAATCTCAGATCTAGAAATTGAAATTCCATAACCACTTGTGGAGAGCTGAAACCACAGCCCCTTCCTGGGCTCCAGGGCACTTTCAGTTTCTTGTCTCTTCCTTCTTCTGGTGGTTGCTGGCATGCCATAGCTGCTTGTTTCTGAGGTCACAGTGTCAGCTCCTCTTTTTCTGTGTTTAAATCTTCTGACTCTATAAGAATACATGGATAACCTTTAGGGTACACATTGATAATCCTGATAATTTCTCATTATTTTTTTAAATTTTAAAATCCTTATTTAATCGCATCTGCATAGTCTTCTGAGCCACACAGAGTAATACTGAAAGGTTTCCAAATTCGGACTTGTATCTTTTAATGAGCCGTTATTGAGCTTGTCACAGGGTCATGTGGCAACAGTCTACACTGCCTTAGAAGTTTTTCGTTAAATCTAAAATTAAATAACAATTTAAAATAACATTTAGAAATGGTTCCAACAGGAGAAATATCTCTATGTAAATGAGAATGTTTGTGTTATACTACACTGTTCCAAAATTGTAATATAACACAAGACCATCTTAGCATATTCAAGAACAATATTACAAATCTTTAGATGTTGAGGCCTTCTATTTTATAGTTACAATAAAGTAGACATGGAATCACATTGCTCTGCTTAATTTTCCATAATATTAAATGTTTTAATTAGTTTTTTAAATTAATTTTTTAATTAATTTTTAAATTAGTTTTCCATAATATTAAATTTTGACTCTGTGGGTCAAAACTTAAAGAAAAAAGATAGTACAGTGTAGAAGAATATTGAATACATGTTATCTCTATTACTGACATATATTCTTATATTTATATTCTACATGGATGGTTAGAATCATTTTAGTTAATTATATAATTCAAATATAAGAAGACATTTTTAAAAATATAATCAGATATGAAAACTTTTAAATCATCTATTTAGTGCATTTTGTGGTTTGTTAAATAATATTTCATTGATAAGTTCCTTGTCATTTAATGAGATATCAGTTTTAAGTAAAAATTATGAGATAGTTTCAGATGATCTACTTGATAATGGGATCCAGAACATCACTATGAACAGAATCAAGGAGTACAAGAACTGAATTTGGATATAGTCAAAAAATATTTCACCAGAGAGTAGAAAGCCACCTGGGACTATTGAAATGCTCTCAAATTATATACTGAGAGGTTTATATTATGGATGGTGCACTATGATTATCACTGGTTCCAAAATTCAACATATTAATACAAATGGAATGAAAGCTTGCTTGTTTTATTCACTCATTTAACAAATGCTTGTTGATA